TTTAATAGCCATATGGCACACCAATTATGCAACAAGTTTTCTAAACGACGCTTTAGTCACGAGTTTGTTTAGAGACGAGGCTAAGCGCATCGAAGTGCAATTTTGCAACATGTAAAACGACGTTAACACTTGGCGATCAGACACCCCGAAGACAAACATTTGAAATGCTGTTTGCGGTTTAATGAACTCTGACGACAATGTAAATCTTTTTGCTTATTCCAGCGATTTATTTAATCGGTACGTAATTGCAGTTACGCAACTCGGCAGGTATGCGTGTGTGCAATCTGCAAGCCAAAAAAAACACTCGTTACTATACATATGGATATACAAGGTGTCGCAACGGCAACTCTGGCGATCTGTCGTGGTAAAACTATAACTAGAAAAAATTTGAAAAATTTTAATTATACTAATCTCGGCAAAAACATTGTCGAAATGGCTGTCTGCTTATTTCAAAGAGAACACGTCATATTAATTAATTTTTCAATTCAATAGTTATATCTAATATTTTCTGTTGAAAATGACATTTGCAAACCGAAGAATATCTTTAATATTGTCATACTGGATATCTTATAACTTTAAATAAGTCATTTTCTTTCTATAAAAAGGTCTGTTTACAAAGTTAGCACTTTCGATAAGCAATTATAATCAAAATTAAATTGAAATACTATATATAAATATTGATTTTTCAACATTTTCCGTTGCATCACGGCCTTTATGTTCAATCAATAGGAGTTAACCATAATATATCGCTCAAGTTCCAGATGGGACACTGTGTATTATTATAGCAATCCATTTAATTAAGAGAGAGAGAGAGAGAGAGAGATCGCATAAATTAACTTTTGATTTACGTATTTTGAGTACTAATATGGACGACCCAAATCCCAAATCATGGGTGTCTAACATAAACATATTTAAATGATTAGTTGCAAATTTAAAGACACGAGAACAAGGCTGTCAAGCTAGCAGGCAAGTATAGTCAATACGAAATTAATTGGAATTAATTGGCTATAGGCGACATAGGTGGGCGTGCAGATTCATTATGTGCATAAGGAAATATAACTGTAACAAAAGTATAACATCTATTAGTGTGAGTATTGCGGAGAAGAATTTGGATAAAAAATTATTTTAATTTTTAAACATGTGCGCGAATCTATACAGTGTTTTATTTTATTTTACCATTAGCTATTTATTAATTTTTAGTAGAACTACAAACGAGAAAGTGTTAGGAAGAATGGGCAAATAACTTGAAATACTTTTACGCGGTACAAGATATGAGGCGGTGAAACTCATTATGGAAGGTAAAATTGTAGGTAGATGAAGTGTAGGGCGCTGAAGAATCTCTTGGTTTGGTCTATCGCCAATTGAATTATTTAGGTCAGCAGTATCAAAAGTGAAGGTGGCCATGATGATCAGTAACCTCCAAAGGAGAAGCTGATACAAGAAGAAGGTTTATTTATTTTTTGTTTAAACACCATGTACTTTTTTGTCAATAGTTATCTTTAATCCTGATTTACAGGTTCTATCAATTCATGTATTCATCTCTACCCTTATAAACAACAAGTGTATAATCGCCAAACGCATAATAGATTGCCATTACATAAGAGTCAATTAATATACCAATACACGGCCTTTATTTGGCACCACACGTGGTAGTGACTAAAGTGTCGTTTGCCAAATTTGTTTTTCTTAATTTACTATTAGGTGCACAGGCTGATAGCTTAAAGTCACACTTCACACTTTACGCAATCCTGGGGAATTTTAGACCAAGCAGTAGAAAGAGGCGTATCGACATACTTCTTGTATCCACAGTGTTAGTAGACGTTTGTACCGTTATTTTCGATAGACTTCGTAATTATCAAGACTTGTCAGTTTTTGACATACGACCTAAGAAGACTATACTTCGTTTCAGTAAAAGTGTTACAGTAAAAGTAAAAAAATTGGGTTTCTTACACTTAGGTATGACCAAATATGCGTTTATATTATGAGTCACCAATTTTATACCACCAATTACATTTTAAAACTCGTGAATGAACTAGCAAAGTCAGCAGCCGTTAACAAGTCAAAGATCGTAAAAGCCCTTATTCTAGCTGCAAGAATGTATGGTTAACTAGAGATTATACATGTCCTCCCTATGTTGATTAAGAAGCAACTATAGTAACAAGTAACATTTCATACAGGATAGTCTACAACGATAAATTATTAGATAGTCCTACTAACATTTTAAATGATTTTGCAGATTTCTGACTTCTTCGCTAACTCTTCTTCAAATTTTACATTAAGTAATAGCGATAATAAGCAAGTTCTTCATTCAAAAATAAGATGACGTCGGGCACTGATTGCATTCCGGCTTTTAAAGGACTGTGCGAGCGTCCTTACTCTACCATTTCCTGTTCTACTAAATACGTGCCTTAAATCTTGCACTGTGCCTGATATCTGGAATGCAGAATGCAGAGTTAGTTCCATTTCATTACTTTGCAATTTTTCTAAGGTTTTTGAAACACTCCTGTACAATAGATTATACAATCATTTAAAAAACAGTATAACATCAACATGAAAGGTCATTCTATCATCACTAATCTGACAAATATCACCCAAGTTATAGCTGAAAATCTATACTTGCTATCTCAAACTGATAGTGTCTATACCGATTTTTCGAAGGCGTTTGACAGACTTGACCATGGGATACTTATTTCTAATTTAAATGATCACTTCTATCTATCATTACTTCTAATCAATTTGATTTCATCTTGTCTAAAAGATCAGCGCCGATGTTCCTCAAGGCAGCAATTTAGGCCCCTATCTATTTAATATTTTTATTAATAGCATTGTCAAAAGTGTTGATGCTAATTGCTTGTTATACGCTGACGATCTAAAGTTGTCCTGCGAAATTTATAGTATTCAGGACTGCCAAAACTGGTGTGTCCATAAAAACTTGTCGTTAAATCCCATCAAGTGTAATGTCATGACGTATTCACTTAGAAGTAATATCCAGCTACTTTTGTTGATCTAGGTGTCACTTTTGGCGCTAAACTCTTTTTCATTCCGCATATTGACTCCGCTGTGTCTGCCGCGAATAAAATGTACGGGTTTATAGCACGGAACCCTCGAGACTTAACGGATTTAGAAACTTTAAAGACTCTGTACTACGCATTTGTAAGATCTAAATTGGAATAGGGTGACATTATATGGAGTCCGTTTTACCAAGTCCACTCAAGAAAGCTAGAATCTGTACGACGAAAATTACTCTTGTCTTTCAGGCATCATAATAAGTATCCCCCAATTGATATAAGCAATACTTCGCTTCGTAATAGGCGGTATTCTTGTACAAAATTATTCATAAGTCAGGTTGTTGATCCGGGCCTCTTATCAAAATTGAACTTTGGTGTTTCCAGGCCTACCTCAAGAGTAGATCAAACCTTTTACCTTTCTACGCCGCGTACGAATATTTTAAAATTTTCTAACGTCCGCAGATCTGTGCAACTCGGCAAGTTTCCAGCTTGATATAATGTGACGTTAAAACATTTTTTAAGGAATAGCATATAATTATTTTCGTTTTATTTTACGTTGTATGAGCATTTTGCTGTCCTCTTGCATTTTTTAAAAAATTTGTTATTTATGTTCGTGTTCTGTAGTTGAGTTTATCCTGTGAACAGTTTATCTACATAAATAAATAAATAAATATGCGCATGCGCAAGATTTAAAATATCGTTTTTAACCAATGACCTTGGGGCATTTAACGACCAACATTGCTAGATCGTCAATAAGTTTGAATGTGCCATTTTTACGGTAGCATTTTCACAAAATATAAATAGATCTCGTTAAATTTTCTGGGAAAACGAGTTAAGTGGTTCGAATTACAAAAGAGAAAGCTTTTACAGCGTATGCAACAGATAAAAATAAGTAAACAAGTTTAAGAGGTGTTCAATTCAATTAGCACAAAACTATATACAGTATGTCCCACTTAAGGACTGTACAACCCTGTGAAATGATTTTTTTTTGTTGGAAAGGTCTCTGAAAAATACATTAAAACCTTGTTTTGCTTATTGCTTCAAGTCATTGGGACTATTTAACAAGAGAGAAGAGAGAAGCACTATTAGGTATTTTTTAAAAAATAAATTGGCAACGAATTCTTATTCAGTTTTCATGTAGTCCTATATAAAAATTATTATGACTTCAGGTTGATGTTTAAGATTTTAGTGAGTTTTTGAGAGATCTAACCAAAAAATAAAAAAAATTGAAAATCAAACCGTAATCAAGGATTTTACAACAATTTACAGCCTTAAGGGGGCGTAAACGATATTTCAAACACCCTGTATTGAAACATTATAAAAATTGGTATAGTTGGATTCTAAGTACTAACGAATAAGAATTCATTGCCAATTTATTTATTTTTTGAATCCCTAATAGTACTTCTCTCTTCACTCTCTTTTGTTAAATAGTCTCAGTTGGTCATAACTTTAAGTTGAATAAGCAAAACAAGGTTTTATTGCATTTTTTAGAGTCCCATCCAAAAAAAAATCAAAATCGAACCATAAACAAAGATTTTACAAGGGTGTACAGTTCTTGACTCGGACACAATGTTTATGGACTTTTCTACTTGCACGAACCGTATGCAGTATCGATTTATGATTTCTTTTTTAAAATTGCGCTTACGACTGATGAATACATAAGTTTTCGTAAAAAAACTTCAATAATTAAAAAAGTAATGAACGTTTAATCAATCATCGCGCCCAACGGCCACTGAAAAAAATTCGACCGGCAAAATTAACTTTATGCACTTCTTCGATCGACCAAATAATATCCCGGTCATCCCAACGGAAAACCTAATTAAGCGTGGGCGCACGGACGCGTGTCGCACACATACAGAATCCCAAATTATCTCAAATATCGATTTCTCCAACTGGGTTGCTGGAACCGTTACAAATGTTGCCGCCGATGCATTCCTCTAACTTTCTCTCGTCCGCGTCGAACCATATCTTCCGCCGCTATTAACTACTCACCATATGATCCTCGTGGTTGTGTCCTTCGTGGCCAGCGTGATCGTGCTGGGCCGACACGACAACGAAAACCAAACAGAAAATCAAACCCGCTTTGAAAATTTCCATTTTTACTGTACGAACACCGACGCGAAGCCTGAGAACAAACTAACGGAATATCGGCCGCACACGTTGCCCACTGCGACTCGAATAGGTGAGCGTCTAAACCCACAAAAGTTCACAGCCGACTGCCGTTCTCGCAGTGACGTGTGGTGAGAACGCCCCTCCGTCTTTCTGCGTGACACGAATTTGATGGTATGCCGGTGAACTGTACAATTTTCAGTTCTTCCATACGCGAAATGGGTAATTAAATTGGTGGAAACTTTTCGAGGTAGAACACCGATTCAGAAATTTTGCTGCTCGTAATTACAAGAAGGTTGCGGTATAAAAGGCGGTCATTTGTGGTTTCTTAAGGATCTCGAATAACAATATAATAGTTATTATGGCTTCTAGTTGTACGGAAAAGTCGAATCGCAAAGTTTTACTCAGAGTTTGCGACGATAATAATGCCAAGGATTATAAAATAATTAGTGACTGAGAATATCCCAAATTGCAAAAGATTTCCGTTGAAATGTTGTTTTTCTTAGTCGCGTCATCTGGTGGACAGTAGCCAAAACTAACCATGGGAACTATGATAAAGACACCCATGGATCCCTTCGTTGGTACAGTAACTCGCCGCTAATACAACTAGGCAAAGATCTATGGTAAAAGTACATCAGACAAAAGCATTCAGAGAAAAACAAAAACTGTTTTCTGTACTCGGAGTTTAACAGATCCTTGGTTTTCGTTATTTATATGGGCAGCAGAATGGACTCGGTTGGTCAGTGACGGGAGGGAGAGGATCAAATTCACGTTGGACCCACAGTTTATTTTTTTCGATATCGTTATCTTTTATGTGTCGTTCTGTGACCAAAATAGAAAATATCTTGCCAACCGAGTTCAGTAATGGGCGAGTGTTGCTTATACACTTACCCAAGGGTACGTAAATTGTAAAGAAGATAGTTAGGGGGTACCTCGAATAACTTAAATTATTTATAAAATGATCAAATGTAAGGAAATGTAGGCCAAAAACCGTAGTTAATGGAAAAAAGCGTTCTTTTGGCCATACAATAACATTTACTAGTTATTAAAGCGATTCCAGGATATTTAGTTATTTTTCAAAGTAAACAGTGTTTTAATTATTACAAAATTTAGTCTGAAGTAAACCTGTTTGCAATCATAGAAGGAACCATTTTTGTAACCTTTTATCAATAAGGAATGTATTTTTTGGTGAGCATTTGAAATGAGGCTCCATATAAATAAGACTATACAGTTTTAAGGGAAATGGGAATAACTACAGAATTACTGTTACATGCTGATAATTCTAAACTGTCAAATGAACTATGTTGGTTGTTAAATCATAACTAAAAATAAAGTCATTTGTTAATTGTTTTAGTCATTTATACAGCATATATTTCTATATAAATTTGCATGTACGCAATTAGAACTATATAAAAGGCAAAACACTGCATACCTATATACAATACCCAATAGAAGAAAATATATAAAAAAAAACTCAGGCAAACAGGATATTATTGCTACTCTTCGATAAAAAATAAGTTTCAAGTAATTATTCTTCATTCCTAAAGAAATATCCATACAACTTAAACCGAAGGCGGTGAAAATATATAAGTACCAATAAAATGCCAATCAAGAACTATATGTAAAACTGACAATGCGGTATTGTTTTTCCTCCTTAAAATGTAAATCAATCTAACTCGCACAGGTATCACCACTGAAAAAAAAAACAAATCAACAGTACCAGCTATCATGACTGTCTTAGAACTCTTTAAAAAAAAACTTTAACTCATGTCTCACACACTATACAATAATAGTTTGTGATGTAATTTCTGTGTTCTTCTTTAAAAAGTTGTCAATATACTCTTTCACTTGGTTTTCATCTAAAAAAAAAAACAACTTAGAGACCTTCTAACAAAAATTGTAACAATATGCAATAGTTAGGGTAAAAATCTTTGAGATAAACAAATTTAGGAGACACTAATCAATAAAATCAAATCAAGTGAATATCTCAATGAAAACAAACCTTTATCCACTAAAGCATGGGATATACTTCTGGCTACACTCTTAAAGAGATCCCTTGACTCAAATCGTCTCTCGACATATGCTGGAGTCAAAAGTTTTACAACCAGTGTCCCAACTTCGTTTTTTCCTAGTCTTTTTAATTTCGGTTTACTGCTCTCACCATTTTGGATAGATCGTTTTTCTTCTAACTGTTTTAACTCATCACTGTTGTTCACATATTTGCTTTCATTTACTACTAACCCATCTGAATCCATTGCACTTTCATTTATTTCAAATCCATTTGATTCATTCATGCCTTCAGTACTTATAACAAAATCAGAATCATTAAGGTCATATTCATCTTTTATTTTCTCATCTCCATTTGAACGCTGCGGCTCCTCTCTTTCTGAACTGTAACTTCTCTTTTTATCATCCTTGTAATCTTGATCAGAGCTATGTCTACTTCTTTTGCTATCTTCATGCTCTTTATCAAAACTATGCCTTCGTTTTTTCTCGTCATTATGTTCTTTATCTGGGCTGTGTCTCCTTTTCTTATCGGCATCATGTCTATGATGTTTGTGTTTGTGCCTATCTTTATGCCTGTCATGTTTGTGATGACTATCTTTTTCTGTTGTATGGGATTTATGTTTATGGCTGTTGGAAGATTCATTTTTGGGGCTAACACCACTTTCTTCACCTTCTGAATCACCAAACAACACCTTCATATCTGTTGATTTATGTTTCTGAGACATATCTTGTTTTACATTACTCTTGAAGAAATCAACAATAGTTTTCTTATTATTGTTACCACTTTCATTTAACAATTCTTTTGCAGTCTTAAATCCTTGGCTCTTGGGACCATCATCTTTCACCTTGTTGTGCTGCTCTTTTTTAATGTTACGAAACAGATCAGTTAAAGTTTCATATTTGGCAGGCTTCGGTTGAAAATCCACTAGTTTCTCGTGCACTAATTTACTATCGGTGCATTTTTTGATACCAGAGATCTGAAAAAGAAAAAATCTGTGTCAACAGTATCCGATAGTCTAAAAATATCTAGGTTAAATTTACCGTACCACGCTGAAGTGCCCATTTAATTGGGTATCGCGATTTTGGGGCACTTTTCTAACCGCGAATATCCAAAATGCTTACTATCTACTATTTACGACGAACATACTTTTAACAAAAATGTCATTTTCCCAGTAAATCACAGATCGAAATTAGAGAAAAATGAAATAATATTCACAAACATAGAAAGCAAGTTGGTAAGTTTTGACGCGGAAGCTGCAATTCCAAAACAAGATGAAGAAGGAGAAAGTTTTGTACCACTAAACCGATCAGAAAGTTTTAAATGTTCAATAATTGCATTTAATTTTCTGCAAAATACTGAGTCAAACCTTTACTCGTGATCATAGAACATAGATCCCATGTTGATATCTATGGTTACACGAAATTATCAATCAGCTGTATAAGCTTCTAGTAGCCAAGTGTGCAGAGATCATTCGGCCGCTATACACAGAATAACATTTCTAACTCTTTTTCGTTTTTGAGCCAACAGTACAAGTATCATTCGTTACGTTTTCTAATAATATGGTGCGTGGGTAAGTGCCATTGCCAATAGAAGTAAAATGGAGTTGTCGGCAAAAAGACAATTTCCGAGTTAATTTGTGTGGAAAAATTTGAGTGTCCTTTCACAAGAAAAGATCCCATAGAAAGTACTTCAGAACATTTAGTTGTGATATTTAACCCAAATCAAATTACCAATTTTGCGATTCCATTCCTGTACATAGTCATAGATGTAGTTGATGAAAACACTTGGTACTCTAAATCAACAGAGCAATCTTCGACATCTTTTTTATCCAATGCCTGACTATCTCTCTGTTCACACTCCATATAGTTCAAATACAAGATATCCACGATTTTACTCAAATATTGCTCTCTTGTGGCCAAAGTTAAACCTTTGACTTTAGTGGAGCTCGAACTTGCAGCTTTGACGCGAGCATGCTTGGATAAAAGCTCATCGATGGTATTTTGAGACATTTCCTGCAATCCCAACCGTTTAAGTTTAATTTCGAGGGCATTTTGATTTATTCACCTGTGGATTTCTTCTTAAGGCAAATTGTTTTTGAATCAGAGTGGTAACTTCTTTTTTGACGGCTTGTTGTCGTTCGAACGCGTTATTGTCTCCATCACTATCGCCATCTTCATAGTTACGACTCTCGCTAAAATATAAGTGAAATGACAGCCTCCTTCGGTAAATTCAAAACAATCCGTACTCCCCGATTCCTTTGCGTCCTTCGCCGTACAAGTCTCCATAGTCCATTTCATTATAAGAGCTTGCGTGTGTGCTATACTGAACGCTCTTTAACACAAACCTTTCGACCATTTCCATCACCGATTTTTTATCTTTGCAAAAGTCGCACATGTTGCGGCAGTTGGGTGGTGGTTCCCCGAAGTAGTTGGAGAACAGCTTGTGTCTGCAGTCTCTATTATTAATAAGATCATTATTTTTGGCCTTCTAATTTAAACAATATAATATATTGGGAATAACATTTCAAACCATCTCTTTTAAGATTTTTACCAATAATTTACAGAAAGAGATTTTACTCACTGAGGATTTTCACAAAATTCAACCACTTGTCTGAAACCTTTTAAAGCATTTTCGGCCTTTATTTTTTTGCCTTCTTTGTTTCCAGATTTGGCTAAATCATGAGTTAAATGGTACTCAACAGCTTTAGCATCTCCCCGGTTATAATAAACCCGACACCAAGATGGTTTGCCATCTCTACCAGCTCTGCCAGATTCCTGATAAAATGAGGCAGGGTCTTTGGGAACTCCCCAATGAATTACAAATCTGAAAACATTTGATAAAGACCCAATATAAAGTAAATTATTATTCGCTTGCCTAACAGTGGCTTTATCAACTCCCATTCCAAAACTTATAGTGGCACAAATGACTGGAATATCTCCATGTTGCCATTTCTCCTGAAACTCAATCCTTTCATGATTTTTTAGGCCAGCATGATAGCAAAGCGTTTTAATTTGCATTTGATTCAACTTTGAAGCCAAGACTTCTGTTTGTTCTCTTGTTCGGCAGTAAATTATGCCACAGGATTTTTTTTCTTTGGGCACCTCATTTTCCTGCCCAACATTAAGGCACACAGCTATAAAGTTTTTAAGATGCAGAAATTGATTTTCCAGAATGTTTGGGAAGAATACATCATAAAATAGGTTGCTCCTAAAGCATGAAGTTTTGAAGACTTTGTGATCTTCCGACAGATGAAGACTGTTGATTATATCTTGCGTCACTTGTGCGCCGGCTGTAGCCGTCAAAGCGATACAAGGGACATTACAATTCTCACGTAGATTCCCAAGTTTTAGATAATCGGGCCGAAAATCATGACCCCACTCACTCACACAATGCGCCTCATCCACCACTATGTACGCTACCTTATTAAACCTGTACAAATTGTTAAACAAGTCCTTGAAAGTTCTGGTGGCAGCTTGTTCAGGCGTAACATAAAGTAATCTTGTATTTGGGGATGTTGATTTTAAATCACTTATGAGTCTCTCCCTTTCGGCTTTTGAAATTTTTGAGTTTAAAGATGCCGCCCTGATTTTTAAAGTGATCAAAGCATCCACCTGATCTTTTATAAGTGCCAATAGTGGAGAGAAGACTATAGTTATCATACTATCATGTAACACTGCAGGCAGTTGATAACAAAGGGATTTTCCTGAACCTGTGGGCATCGAAACGTAGACATCGCGTTTTCCTGTAAACGTAAATAACTTTAAAAAAACAGAAATAATTTACATATCAATATTACTTTGACATATTTCTATTATTGCTTCTTCCTGCAACTTGGACTTAAAGGTTTCAAACTTAAAGTATTTTTTCAATCCTTCTTTTACAGCGTTTTTATTCATATCAAGCAACTTTGTTATTTGCTCCAACTGTCTGTAGTATGGGAGAAATAATAATTAAAAAACAACTTTAACATTTGAAAACATTATAGGTTATGTCCAGATAAAAATATCAGTTTTGAATTATATTTCCTTTAGAAATAACCGCCAAAATTAGTCTTCTTCTTCTCTTATATGGAAAGGAAGCTTCTTTTTTTTTTCTACATTTTTTTCCCGATAAGCAAGTAATGCGGGGACAATCGCGCATTTCCGACTTCCGTCGAGGTTTTCTGACTGCGATTATTAGTCGTAAACAAAATTTAGCTAGAGAAAAACAAAATAGAGCATAAACACAATAAACCAAGCAATACAAGCTCAGCACTACAAGCGTCCAAAAATGTACATATAGCTCTCGCAACGAATACCATGCCAAAAGCGGGAAGCAAATCTGATTCCAAATATATCGGTGCACAGCTTGATACAACACTTCAAAGTTATTCCATTGTCTTGCACTGTCAAAAAGGATATGATGCAAATCACCCGTTTCCCCGCATTCTGTTGAGGTGGACTGGAGATAGGCAGTGATTTTTTTCTAGGCTTCTTCTTCCAAAACTAGGGTTACATCGGAGGGGTTACATAACGATATCTGTACATTCTGACCTTGTCCAGGATATCTCTTAATGCGACTATAAAAGTCAGTTTTATGTCTAATATATCTAGATTTGTAGAAAGATTGGTTATATTGTAAACAAAATCATTATTTTTTTATCTAATGATAAAAAAACCAGAATCTATCAGAAATTTTATCTTAACTTTACCATGACACATAATCTAATGACTGCGAATGCCGAATACTGTAGAGCGCGAAGAGTATTTTCTTTCTCTGTTATCTATGCGTTTGCATTTTTTGATAATTAACCAGATTATTTAAGATGTCAACCTTTAAATTAGCGAATTCCCATTAGCATAAAGTTATGATATTTTACAGGGGAGACAAACGAGAATAATTATTTGAAGAAAATTAGTTCTACTATCTGATATCCAGGTAAAACTTTACCTAATAAAAAAAGTAATTAAACTTAATGACGACGTTAAGAATGAATTAGAATTAAATTTCATTTATTGTAATCGTATATTTAATACATAAATGAACATAATATGATATTCAATTATATTGTTAAAATACCTTAAAATTTTGTGTCATTCACATAACATATCTATACATATTCCATAAATTGTTCGACGCAATTTCGTATTTTCAGATTTGCCGAACATAGATTAAAAACGAAATTGAATACAAAGAAAAAGTGTCGTTGCCTGTTTTCAAAGTTAAGATTACATTTTGATTATGAAAAAGTAAAAATAATTCTAGTGCCACACAGAAATTTGAGAGCGATTCTAGACAGCTGCCATCTAGGGCCAAAAACTACACGCATCGACGATCGCCAATAAATAAATTTCGTCTCGAATATCCGGCTCTGAAAGCGTAGTAGAAAATCTGTCATTTTTCCGATTTCTAAGCACACGTCCGCGTTTTAAGGAACTCTTCATATTTCTTACGACAAAAGCGATATTTTGTCCGTTTTTACCCAACAATAGATATTACTTTTACCCGAGTGACCACAGGAGAGGGTGTCCTTTTACAATAGTGGGATTTAATACGCGGACGAGATTTTTTGCCATCGTGTTTGTCGATTTAACAGCTGCCGTTTGAAATGAAAAATGATCGCCAAAGAATAACGTTTCTGTACAAATTAAACTCAGGCCACGAGATTGATTACATTAACGCAGTGTATCACATAAAATAATCATATAAAATTAAAAAAAAAAAATCTTATAAATGTAGATCCGGAAATGCTTAGAATCTTACGTCGTAGGCTACATGTCTTCAACGAAGCTCAAGGAAGTAATATGTTTATTGTGTAACAACGGGCCCAAGTTCATGAAAATTCGTTTCGTCAATAGTTATAATTTTTGGGCTTGGAAAGGAGGCAAGAGACGAAATCAAAAGTTGAACTTATAGTGGCTTAGTAAAAGTAAATAACAAAAATTGCAAAAGAGTCAGTGGCGTACGTCTCTTTGACAACATTATTCGTTAAGATATTTGCCGTGGCGGCACTGGGTTTCACAATTTTAATCTGGTTAAAGCAAAATTTTGCCCCTTATCATTATCGGTGCCAACTTTAAACAAAATCGATCCAAAAATACTTAACGTATCTTAAAAAATCTGTTTTTTAATATATGTGTTCTGTTAATATGAACTTTTCTTCTTATTTTCAAAATATGAGCGTCGGCTACTGTTTTTTGAAACACTCTCTATAGAGACCCCTCTTGTTCTGTTAAGACAAGAACTTTTGCGCGGTCATTTAAAATCTCCCTTTCAACCAATAAGACCTTACGGCGTTAAAGATTCAACGTGGCTGTTGACAGTTTGCCAATTCGACAGTTTTCAGTTTAGATGTGGATGTGCTTGCAACCATATCATCTGATAAGTTGCATAGCTGTATACTGAATAATATAACAGGTGGTTAGTGATATTTCCTTAAAAAATGATTTTTCTGTACATGCCTCCAAATTTTCAAAGTTATAAATATAAAAATACATAAAAAATATTTAGAAATATATTTTGATATGTAGTCTTTATTAGAGAAAATGGTAGAAAAGCTGATTTCGATTAGAATTTGATCAAAATTCAGTTGGAAAAGGGTAGTTTCACTAATTTTTTGTATTTTTTCTTCAAATATCCTCTTTAAAGCTATCGTTCGAGCCAGAACATAAAGTTTTAGGTTTATAACTAAAATTGAGTGAAGTTTGATCGAAACCGACTTTTGTCAATAAGCATTTTTGAAGCTAATTATAACGTCTACACCGGTAAAAAAAGGAGCTTCAAGAAAAAGAAAATCTTGCCATTGAAAAAGAAAAAAGAATAAACGAGAAAAAAAAACGGAGAGAGCTGAAAAACCAAAGGAAACTTAACGAACAGAAAAATAAAACTCGGAAAAGCATGACGAAAGAAAGAGTGAATGTGAAGCTATATTGTGTCCGCGATGTGAAGAGATCTACCAAGATCCACCAACGGAGGAGTGGATTCAATATTCGTTCTGCCAGCTATGGTGGCATGAGGCGTGCAGTAATTTTGATGGAATAAATGACTTTGTCTGTGACTTCTGTTAATTCTGACATGTTGGGTAGGATGACGAATTTGCATTTTTTTTTAAACTATACATTTTAAATATTTTGAGCTTACTGGATGTAACGATACTGTTTATTTTTGATAAGGAAGTTCCTAAGATTTTGTTATGAGAAAGTTTGGTGAGAATTTATAATAAATAACCAATAATATATATGTTTTTTCTTAACCTCGTCATCTTACCCGGTTTTCCCCTACGTTTACTGCAAGTTTGAGGTATCATTTCCATTATAAGAACTGGTGAAAAAGTTGATTTTAACTAGAATTGTAACCCAAGCCTGAACCCGTATTGGGACTGGTCAATTTATCACTTCTTAATTGACCGGTGAAATTCGATCAAAATGTCCAATTTACCTATAACCCCCTTCAAGGAATACCCGAATACGATAGCTAGCAATTCGGGGAATCCCAATAAAAAAATTACTCCATTTAGTTCTCAGAAAGACGGGATATTGATGCACAATATAAATAAATATACATTTCATTGCATTTTTAAAATCATCTTGAATATATCACGAATGGCGATATTTCTTGTCCATGTACAAATGTGACACTGGTGCAGCTAGTGCTTATCCCTACCAAATACGAATAATGTTATTTCTAAGTTACTGAGAAAAAAATAATTTTTCAATGTACCATGAATAATTAAAAACTATCAGCATAACTAACATAAAAGGTTTGTCGAAACACGTAGAATCTATAATCAAAACCAAATACAGGGTAGTTAAAAAAATAATACTTTTCAAGCCATACTTTGGTGGTGAGTCCTATTTAATCATAAATATTTTTAGAGAGTTTTTTATGCCCCTACCATACATATCATTTTGCCTCTAATATTACCAGGGAGGCGAAAACTCCATCGCCGGGACACCCAGTTCATTTAATAAACAAATAAATAGTTCTCCAGGATATTGAAATGAAAAAATAATGGGAATGGGACAAAAATTCTAACATCGTGCAAAATTTTATCATTTAAATTAGAAAAAAATAATAATAAATTACCCAAAAGTAAACGATTTTCTATGGGCCCGATTTCAGATGTATTCGTCAACAATTAAATAAAGGGCGCGACATAAAGTAATTGAGAAACGGACGGGGTGTAAAATACAAATGGCAGTAAAAATGTCTTTATTGACAGACAGATTTGTTATGTTTGGTCAGGTTACGTGCGTAACGAAAGGATTTTCTACCGACGACTGATTGAGGCAGAGGAAGTTTGTCTTCGCATTGTACTTTTACCGGTTTTCGCTGTCCCATTGTGACGAATCCGGAAGCATCTGTGTTGAAACACAAACATTGAGTTTTCGGCAGCCTGAATAGTACGTTTTCCGCCAATGACCGAATGTCTCAACTTGATTCAAAGCGGTATCAACCCGTTAATTTTTTGATGATTCCATGATTTGACTTCAAATTGAAATAAATAATGAATGTCGAGCTGTTTAGTCTGTGAAATAAGCTTTTACTTTTTACAAAACTTCTGGATTCCTCCTGCGTCGGTTTTTGCTAAGTCGAAATTGCTGACGTTTCGCCAATCATCTTGACTGAAACTGACTCGTATTTTACTCTGTACCTGCTTATATATTGTTTGAGGGGGGCGGAGCTAAATGAGGGGCATAAACATCGTCTCGGATGACTGATCCCCAAATTGGTGACAGGTAGAGACCTGAGTTGCGATTAACATTGTTGTTTATAGATTTCTATAGACTCTCTGTTTAGGCCCCTCATTTAGCTCTTGAGCTTAAATACGTTCAAACGACTGAAGAGACATCTCGTACTAAAGATGCAATACTGCGATACATTCTATAGATGGTTTAGATATATTGGCAACATTTCCATTAAGTTGGGGCGCTTCTTCTCCTCTTTCAAAATATTGTATTTATTGAAAACAACTAACACCTTAACAAAACATTTTTGCTAGGAATGTTCGTCTATATA